CGAAGTTACGGAAAAATCAATTAACAAACGGAGACGTAAAAGTATCTAATGCCTACATATTGTTGCTAAAATAATGTTAAAAGTAATAATATAGGTTCATTAGTAACTAATAAAGTATATAAATAACATCAATTTTGCTTGTTTTGAGTTAGAAAATCATCTACTACAGTGTTTAAAACTTTTCAAAACTTCAACTTTAATTGCCTAAATATATCCTTATTTTTGTAAATAACCTGGTTAGGAGTTATATAGAATAACTCAGGAAGCTTTTTTATTTTTCTTATCAGAAAAAGTTAAAACTGCACAAACTATCAACCTTCTTGATATCTTAAGAATATTTGGCTTGTTGTTGATTAATAGAATAATGCTCTCCAATTTAAGGGTTACATTTGCCTGAGACTAAATTTTTCTACTGAGCTAATTATGATTGTGACTAAAGACTAGTAAAAAAAACAAACTAAACCTCAAGATATGTTTTACTGTTGTGGAGACAATGGGAAAATAATACCCATAAATTTGCAAGACTCATCTACAAATTAATGATTGATATTAAATATTTATTAGATAGGAAAAGTGGTGCTCTAATACAGACAAAATTTGAAGTTGGACAACAAAATATGTAGGCACACACACACAAGCTTGGATCACACTGGCACTTACATAGTATGCCCAACAGTAGTAGTAGATCATGTCATCTGTACTTCGTTAAACTGTTGTTTTCATAGCTCTTTTTGTTTTTAGCAAGGGCATTTATTACCTGCTTGGTGTCAAGTAATTCTAACAAATTAAATATTGGAAAGAACTATGTCTGGTGAAAAAGAAATCCTTAACATGTATACATAATCATTAAACAGTTGGTCCAATATATAATATTGAATTTGAGGAAATGTCATAACATTATTCACATACCTAAATTAATTTAGGTTACTATATGGGAAAGTAAAATGGACTCAAATCCCCATAGATATAACCATGATTTACTCCTCTACCCTTCTATGCACAAAAGTTTTTTTTTTCTATTTCTTCTATAAATGTTTTTCATGTCAGGGCCTTCAAAGACAAAGTATAATTTTTAATCAGGTTTTGTAACGTTTCATAAAAGCTGGCATGTTGAGCTTTAATAATATGTTAAATTGTAAGTTTTTTTGGTAACTAATGCCTTTTTGCCAGGTGGAGGACATTTATGTCAACTTCTAATATGTACTATCTCATTTGTCTGAACAGCTTGAGAAGAAGGCTGTTCTCACATTTATAACACCTATACAGAAAATAAAAGAAGTATTCGTAACAGTCATAATAAAAATCCTCTTGGACTGCAGAGTTTTATTTTTCACATTAATCTTAATTTTTCCATTACAGATACCAAATCAAAGTAGTGTAAGCATTTCAGAGGCATGTCATCTCTCACTGGCCATTTTCCATGAGACTTTTCATTCTGTAGTAGAATTCATCAGTAAGGTTGAATGATGAGAAATTAAAAGTTTATCTGAAATGTTATTAATGTATGCAGTACAATAATTTCAAATTTACTGTTTGAATGCTGAAAGCTAGTGATGCATTGAAATTCAACATATATATGAGATAAAAATTATGTTACATTGCAAGTGCTTTTTTGTCTCTCTCTGCATAGCTCTCAATTTTTCAATTATGGATTCCAAATCAGAGATATTTCTTGTATTCCAGGAGGCTTTTCATTCAATACTACCAGTGTTTCATTGTCCAGCCCAGCTGGTGAGTTCTGGAACTGAATGAAAGACTGAGTAGACAGTGACTTATGGGAGATGAGAGTTATCTCTGAAATGCTATTTATAAGCATACTTGATTTGGAAAGTGCAAAATACAGATTAAAAAAGATTCACTCACCTGATCTGCTTAAATCCTTGCCACGGCACCAAGATTTTATGTGAATTTTACTCTGTGATGGTAAAGAGTTGTATACAAATAAGTTGCAACTGCAATAACCACAGGAATGCTAAGATCTAGCTTACAGAGAATTACTGATGTTTAAAGAATTGAGACTGAATTGCTTCAATGTAGAAATTGATGAATTTATTCATTTGGTGAAAAATGAAGTCTGATATTGAACAGTAGAGCTACGACAATGATAGTAAACATCTTTAATGAATGTTTCAGAATTACACATATTTCATCTTCATCAAATCTATGATGCTAATGAAGGGAATAATCTTAATTATAATTAATAATATAAATATACAATGAATAATGTTAGGAAATTATATGCACTTTGGAATGCATGGGAGTTTGTAATAGAACTAGGCTTAAGCTTCAAACTCCACCTAATTCTCCTCCATATTCTCACAACAAAACATCATCTCACACTATGGGAGTTTCTAATATAACTAGGCATAAGCTTCAATCTCCACCTAATTCTCCTCCATATTCTCACAACAAACATCATCTCACACCATTTCCTTAGAAAATTTTTGGATTCTAACTTGTGGATGTAATGATCGTGAGCTGCTGATAAAAGAAAGTTTACATATTATGAATAAAAATCCAAGCCTCAACAGAAATTCCAATTCTTCCCCTCCCCCCTGCTTTATTCAAATAGCTCTCTCTCTGTGATTTTTTTTTAGTAAGTGATGCAATACAAGGAAGAGAAAATGTTAATACATACAACACAGTTGAACTCGAAATAATACTGTTTATTTGAGTGACTATAAATGTGCTGACAACTAGGATAAGACTGTTTCAACAACCTAGATTCAAATACACACGTATCCCGTCAGAGAACAAAGAAATTATACTTCTATAATTTTAGCCAATGAAACACAAGATTACAAAATGAACACTTTGTCCTCATTGGAAAGTTGGGCTAGCAACAAGTGTAGGTCACTTTCTATTAATTTTCATTCCAACAATACTGTCAGAACAAAGTGATAATGTTAGGCTCAAGTCCTATGGAGACATGTTGCAATCTCAAGGCATAGGTTTACAGTGGTCAAAACTGAACTCTTTTTACAGACAACTAAATTCTGAAAATACTATAGAGATAAAGGAAAAGAAATACTAGAATAGTTTGAAATCTCGAGTAAAATGTATTCAAAATATAATTAGGATGTTACAAAAATAACCCATATGTATATTTAATGTAACCTCTTATGTTTAATATATTTCTTACAATTTTCAAATTTGTGGTTATAAATTTAATAGAGTATTTTGTATGTTTTATACCTGGTTTGTCTTTGGTAAGTACTGTGGGTTCTTTATATGGTAGTAGCTTGATAACTGTTGTTTAGAAGAGTTTGAAAATTACATTATGTACATTCTAAGTTGAATTTAAATAGCAGTTTAACAATGAAAATTGTGATAAGTTCATAAAATCGGTGCAATCATATATTGTAATATTGGCTGTTTAAAGCAAAATTGTGAAATAAGAAAGATCTGAAAATACTTTTTTGGACTAACTGAATGTGTAAGTAATGTTTACAGTGAATAAAAACAGTATTATTTAGCTTTTTATAACAGAGAACAAATAAATAGATATGTAATATTTTGACATTAATTGTAATTTTATCAGTCCTTTTAAAACTTCTGCAATGTACATATGTACTGTTAAGTAAGTAAACTTTTAATGTGCAAGTTAATTTCAATAGTTTATCAGATAGAATACTTAAATATTAAATTATTTTAATTGATTTATTTATAAATACAATTTTATACACATTAGTTTCATATAAAGCACTACCTAGTTTTAAGGGTCGTTTACAACTAAAAATATTTCTTTATGCTTGTACCATTTCTGTATTGTAAGTTATCTTGTCACAGTTTGAGATTTTTAATATGGGTACATTAATCCCATTGGAAAATGCATTATTGGATAATGTTGATCTGTTAATAAGATTTTCAGTGAAGTGTAGTATAGGAAGTGTACCAATTGTCAGAGATGATCGAATGCAAGCTTTGTTTGGTAGTTGTAGTAAAGGTACAATACTCTACTGTGTCAAGTCTCAGTCTAGGAGAATCATGCCTACAAAACTTGTAGTGATTCTTGTTTTCAGCTTAGAATATAACTATGCAATACTAGGAAAATTGGCTGTGTCAGCTAGATGTAGCAAGTGAAGATACATTAACCATTGTCAGAAGAGTATGGTAGGTGCTGTGTATGTTACGCATGTATATGACATATCTGATAATTTTCAGTTCATGTTTATATAGTATACTTTAATCAAGATTAATGTTATGGAAAAACAATTTTAGCTTGTGGTGGTGTGGAAAAATTTGTATTGATTGAAAATATTAGTTTACTAAAGCTTAAGAGCGATGCTTCGTTTTAATTTGTTACAAAAGTGTAAAGTTTGTTTTTAAGAACATGGATAAGAAATGACATGAAATATTTTTTGGGTGATATGTAATAGAATTATATATTTAATTTTCTTTTTTTTATAACAGGATGCATGTGATCCTTAGGAGTTGACAATACAATCATCTTGAGAAACATCTGTTAATGTGTCATCCGGTTTCTAAAGAGGGTGAAGAACATTTTTTTATTTTCATTTGGTAGTCATGGCCATCCTAGATCATCAGAACTTCAGTTCTTAAAAGTTCATGCTGTTGTACATGATTTAAGATACTAATAAAATTACTTATAATTTGATTAAAGATTGTAAAAAATTAAAAAAGCATATAACACAAATATAAATGTAAATATGGCTTTTGTATCTTTAATTTTGTGTTTAGTTGAATGGTAAAAAAAACAAAAAATTGTGTTGTTGGACTAATCGTAAGTGCAAGTGTGGACTGTAGATGAAATTAATTGTTAATGCGTGTATAATTTAGTACCATTGTTCTTCAAACACTGTAAGTCATCACAGCTACAGAGACTGTTTAGCAAGAAGTTTAATATTGTTTCTGTGCATTTGAACCAATGAATAATTTATCAGAAAATCCAGAAAGTAGTGTTTAATGGTCAGTACCATTGTTTATTGTTATTCAGCTATATTTATGATGCTGACATCATCATACTGGCCAGTACCTCTAAACTATTTCAAGATACAGTCAAGTTGACTTTCTCTATAGCCTATGACTGGTTAAACAAAAAGAGTTCTTCCTCTATAAACCTTGGAGTCCAGGCAAGTAGAAGAGGGGGCAAGAGCCTGCTGTGCCCCTGAATTGCTGCAAAGAAGGAGGCGGGCAGAGGAAGGTGCAAGAGGCTGTTGCGCTCCTGGAATGCTGCGAAGAATGGGGGCAGCCATAAGCAGCTTCTTCCAGACAGGAGGCCACCTTCTTTCTTCTGGAACCTCTGAAGCAACTCGACAAGTCCTTCTAGAAATTCTGGAGGAGCTTCGAGAAATTCATCCATCTGATATTGATTGGTTTGGAATCGAAGCTCGTTTGTCACAAATACCAAAGGTACAAATATTGGTTTTGTAAATGATACTTAGTTTAGCTTTTCTAAATTAAACTTTTATTTGTAAAAAATCTTATTTCATATAGTAAGTTCTGTGGTCTTCTAATCACTTTCAAATCTCAAATATTTTCCAAATTGAACAGTTAGTTTCTACAGTATTTGTAACACAATTTTTTGAAAGCCTTTTTGTAGCTATAAATTTATTATAGATATAAATCTGTATGCAGTTAACAATAATATGGACTTAAAGATACATGTTCTTGTATTATGTAATATTCCATTAGAAGTAAAAAGTAAACAATGTTAGAATATTAGTGTACAGACTAAGACATGAAGCCAGTTCCTTTTTTTTCTTTTTTCTAAAATAAGAAAAGAACTAGTTTGGAAAGGCTGCTTTGATAATTTAATTTCCGAAGCCTAATAATGGGACATTTGGCCCATCGAGGTCATCCCATCTTATATTAACACTCTATTCCAAACTATACATAAAAACCTCTTGTCTTATACCTGATACTGAATACTAATCTTATAGAAACCCTTTTGTTTATACCCAGTATTGATCTCTAGAAATCTCATCTAATTACCTCTTAAATTCCTCAAATGTTGCAACTTCTGTCACTGAAATCACTCTTTCATAGGCCTACCATCATGTTAGAAAAGTAACACTGCCTTAGCTGTAGTTGTGTCTAACTTTTTCATTTCTTAAACTAGTCTTAAGAATTTTTTAAGGAAAAAATCCTTTGGTGTTATACAGCTAATTTGATGATCAAGTATAATTACTGTAGATGTGTTTTTCTCTCTACTTTTGAGCAATCATTACTTCCAAAACAATATCTTGCCTCTTCTCATAGTTAGCTTTCTCGCCTTTATAGTGCCTCTATCAGCACACATTTTCGTTCACCACTAGTCTTGGTACTCCCACTTAATTCTGCATACTAACAGGCAAATAATTATGTAGTAACCCTCCACCAGTAGAAGTGCAACACTACCCTCTCTAATCTTGCAGTTGTTAATCACTTCTCGATTGGCAGTCCTACTGATGATTGTCCTACCACAGTTTTCAGTGGTCAGGAAGATTTGGATTTGGACAACCTTTTTCCCTCTTCCTGAATATGCCTATTAGTCACATGTCATTTTGGTGGACTATCCCAGACTTCTTTTCCCTTTGGTGGGTTTGATTATTCAGGTATGTTATGTTTTGTCCTTATCTCCCCTTTTCCCATGTTCCACCCCTGCTCTTTTTTGGGGAGTAGTCTTTTCCAAGACAGTATTGTGGTGGGTTGGCTTGCCAAAGTGGAGCAATTTTTCCTCACATTACTACAATTTTTTGGTTCATCTCGAGGTGTTTTTCCATTCCCTCCTCCATTTGGCCCTACCTGCTCCACTTCAGTTGTGAGCTTGAGAATATCTCATATGCAGCATCTCATCATCTCTCGTTCTCCTACTGCACAAGAGAATTTCCCTGTGTTGTAGACGTGGGCTTCTCTCAAAGCTGTAATTCCTCTGGGTCATGGCCTCATGTGTTATCATAAGTGGGTTCTGATAGACCAATGGAGCCTTCTTTGGCATTCCTTTAGTGCCTCTCTTACCCTTCCTCCTCCCTTACAGACCAACTTTAACTGGTGGTTGGATCTTAACAATACTACAATGGGTGTTCCTCTTCTTCCTTCTTGTCCAGAATGTCACCTTTTACAGATATTTCTGGTTGGGGGAGTATCTTGACACCCAAGAGGTTTTGGGCTGATGGTCTCTGAGTCCTCTCTCCATGTCAATATTGGAACTTCCTGCTGTTCTTTAGGTTTGCTTTCACTTTCTGTGGGCACTAGGGGCTGATTGGTGATGGTTAACTGATATTTCTATGGTAGTATCATACATCACCAGGCAAGGGGCACTGAGGTGAACAGACCTCTGTTTTCTCACATTGGATCTTCTATGTTGGGCCCATTGCTATCCCATCATTTTGTTGGGATGTCATAGTCTGGCTTCCCTGAATCTGGTTGTAGATAAATTATCCTGTTCTGGCAAGATTCATCCTGCAGTTTGGTCTTTGGATCTGCCTGTTTTTCATGTTTTGCGTGCTCTGTGCGACATCCCAGATTTTGATGTTTTTGCCACTCTTCTCAATACCCCACTTCCCCAATTTTGGTCTCCTGTTCCTCATCCTCTGGCAGGAGCAGTCAGTGCTCTCAGTCTGGATTGGTTGGGTTAATACCTGTTTGCATATCTTCCTATTTGTCTCTTCCCACGTATCCATGCCATACTTCAGACCACTCTGTGTAGTATTATGCTGCTGGTTATGTATTGGCCAGCTCACATGTGATTTCCATTGCTGCACCAGTTTTTGGTGTTGTTTCTCTTTTCCTTTATCTCTGACATTCCTCTGTCAACCACACTCTGATGTGTGTCATCTGTCTGTACCTGCCTTCCATCTTCATGTGTGGCTTTACCTGGTCCCTCTCCTGAAGGGCAGGTTTATGTATATAGCTTCTTTAATTTTCTGTCCTATTCTTTCTTCCTCCATGGCAGTTTACCTATGTACATGGTACATGTATCGCTTTTAGTCTGTGTTAAAGGATTATAGTCCTTCTCATCCTAAAATTCCTCACATACCATCCTTTTTGCCTTAGCTTTTTGAATGGGGTCTTTTGGTTTCCATCTGTTGTGGGCTATAGGGTGGCATTACCTGCCACTTTTTGGTTTACTGACTTTGCTTGTCTTTTCCAGTTGTCAATCTTATCCATGTTGTTTTGTTCCTTCCATTCTCCCATCCTCCCTGCCCTGCTTCCTTTCCAGATTAGCACCTCTATGTGGTGCACCATGTTTTTCGTCATCTTCCATTGGACCTTTTGTCTTTGTGTTCTTTAAATCACTGTTCCTGCTTTTGTGGGTATGCAAATATTGTTCTTCTTATGTGTTTGTGTTGAATGTTTGCCACATTTTTGTTTTCCTAATTCCTATGTTTTTTTCGTTGTTTCTTTATACCAAAGACTTCAGCTGCTTCAGAGGGTGCTTCTCCCTTCACACCTTTTCCCTTACCTTTTTTTTTCCACCTTTATGACTGTTCTGATCCCACCTGCCTCCTCTGCCCAGTCAGGGCTCTTTAATGGTATATGAAACATTATGTTGCTCCCATCCATGGTTCTCATGTCCATTTTTTTCTTCCATGAAATACTTACCTTGTCCCATGACCATTTTTCCCATTTCCCTTCTCGGTTGAATTCTCCAGTTAATTCACCTGGCATTTCTCTTCCCTTTCAGCTGATGATTGTCACCTTTTTCATGTTCCCTTCAGATATGTCACCTTGACATGTCCCTAGCAGCACATTCCATCTTCCCTTGGGGACATCATCAGTGCTCTAACTGTTTATCTGTGGGTAGTAAGTACTCCTTTCTTTTTCTTTTCAGGGGCCTTTAGTGCATATTTGAATCCTGACCAGGTATACTTAGTCTTAAATCTGCACTGTATGACCTTTGGTCATATACCATACTAGATGACTGTCATGTTGAGGCTTTTCCTACTGCTGACCTGATGTACAATTCCAGATTCTTCCAGGAATTGGTTGATCATTTCCTAAGGGGTGTCCTCTATGCATCAAAATATAATATTATAACGTGTCACATAATCATGTTATACACACTGTTGAGATGGGGTGTTCCACAGGACCACTCGTAGGTATCCTTTATGGTCTGTAACTTCATAAATATGTTTGTGCTGGTCCATACACTCATGGACTGACATGAGTAAAGCAGAAAGAGATTACTGCCCATCTCTAATGATCTGTGGTGTTAAGACTTTTCCAACTACAGACCTGATGGACAATTCCAGACACTGGTATGTTTTGGATAATGTACTCCATCAACCTAATTGCTGTTTCCAGTGCTATGGCCCCTGGACTGTCCAACACACTTTTCCCTTCCTTTTTCTAGTGGAATATGGGCGTCCTTGCCACTTAACAATTCCTAGCCAATGGAGTGGTAGACTCTGGAGGCCTGTCTTCCTAAATGTCCACAATAACACACAGTTTGAGAGTAGGGTGGTGGCATTCTGTGGGTGTCAGTGGCTTGACACCCTTCCCACTGTGGACCTGATGTACAATTTCAGATGCTGCTGGGTATTGGATGTAGCACTTTGCCATATATATGTATATATTGCAGTTTCCCTTCCTTCCTACAATCATCCAGATGTTGGTTCTCAGTGACTTGGGGTCTAGCCACACAAGTCCTTGCACATGTTTAGCTGGTGCCATCTTTATACTGTAGAATAGACAATAAATTCCCAATGCTACCAGATTTTGGACTGAAGATGCAACCCTCAACTTCTGGTCCCTTTTCCTACCCATCCCTTCCTTTCTCCTACCATGTACTGGACAAAACAATTCCTATTGCCTTCAGGTTTTGAACTGGAGATGAACACCAACCTGGGTTCTCCTCCTTCCTACCATCTGCCAGATGTCGGTTCCAAGTGGATTTGGTATTTGAGGTGCGCCATGTGGAGACAGGTTCTTGATATGGGAGCTACTCTTCATGGCCATATCCATTTTTGAGGTGAAAGGTAGAGGATCTTCTTCGTACTCCAATCTTGATGTACAATTCCAGATGCTGCCAGGTGTTGGTTGAGGTCAAATCCCCATTTACAGTTTGTCGTGCTGTAGCCATTATACACCAGGGGGTCCCATTATTTCTGTAATTTTTTCTTTCAGTCCCTCCATGTTTCTGCTGTTTTTGGTGACGTATTACTAAAGGACGTAGAGTATACCTGACTTAGAGAAGTGGTGTGGTCTCCCACGGGTGTGTCATTTTTAATTCTCTCTCACTCCCTATGGTTTTCCTTTGGATGCTTCCTAAAGGGGGATTATCTTCTCACTGGCCATCTTCTGGTTAAATATGGGCTTCTAGGTTTTTGTGATAAGAGGTTAGATATCGTATCGAAAGTTAACATTTTCTTAAACTGAAAATCTATTTTTGATAGATATTTATCTCTCCTCATTTTTACCACCCATCC